ATAGATGGCAGCTTTCGCAAACACTGGGAAGGGGCAGGAACCAGGGCCCCCAGGAAGTGCTGCTCTAACTCTGGTCACCCTGGCCCTGGGGCGGGGTGGGCCTGGGCGTGGGGGGATAGGAGGCAGTGCTGAGGGTGGGAGGGAGGGTTGGAGGACACAGTGAGTAGACTGGAGATGGGCTTGGGGATGCCAGTCCCACCAGGGTCTGCTCAGTGCAGGGCTGAGCATCCGCACGGGTGGCAATTGGTGGTTTCATGGTTGTTGAGCTGGCCTGGTCCAAAGCCTCAGTTGGGGCCACCTGCTTAAGCCCTCCGTGTCCCCAGGAATACGGTTGGTTCTTCAGCCTTGGAATCCAACAGCTTTAACACTTTAATTCCTGAGCTTTCTTTTCAGACAGGGAGGCTGACTCAGAGTGGGCCTTGATAAACACAGACCGAATGAGTGCGTGTGGACAGGGTTTCTTACTCCTTCTAGATCCATCTGTAATAACTCACATTACCCTAAGAGCTTCCTCGTCCCACATCACCACTGCGGTGAATGCCAAGTGAATGCCCCCACCAGCCATTGACCAGTGACCAGAGAGCCAGACTAAGCCTGGAGAAATACACGAATGCCGGTCATATATTATTTATCCGTCTGTCAGTTGCAGTCTTGCCAGCAGAGAAAGAAGTGAAGGGAGAGAAGAGAATTGCTAACATTTGTTTCATTTGATCCAATCAAGTGGTGAAGCCCTCTGGGTTCTGGGGCAGACACTGAGAATCAGGTTCATAAAACTGGGTCCAGAGGTCGTGGGTTGAGGGACCAGCCCAAGCAGAGGGCAGAGGCTACTGAAGAGCACACTGCACACCCATCAGCAGCACAGGAGAGTCACATCTTACATTTCAGCAGAACATTAAAAAAGCTGACCTCATTTCAGTCCATTAAGACAGAGACACTCCCATCTGCTGGGGATAATCCAAGTTACCTGCTATGGGACAATCCTTTCCTCCTCGGTAAGTGGCTTTGAAGCCCAGACAGATTAGAATTTTAAAAATAAAGATGGCGGCAGTACATGAAAACCCATAGTAATTCTACATCTATGCTAAGTGTCAGCTGGATCAGTTGCTGTGTGTTGGTGCATGAAGTCCCATATTTGTGGTTTAACAACACTTGGGTGTTAGTATTTCTAATGTGTGTGACCGAGTAATTGACTTCAGTTAAAATTTTAAGTCAAAAATTTAAGAGAATGTGGCAGTGTCTGTAAACTCTATTAGAATATTTAAGAGAACTTAATATTCACTTTAAAAGTCAGTTTTTAGATCGGAAAGTATCCTCTGAAATCCCCTGAAATGGTTTGTTTCTTATTGGTATTTGAAGCAATTATAAGAGAATCAATTCATTAAATTTGTAGATGCTGCTTAGATGATCTAAGGCAGCGCTATCCGATAGAAACATAAAGCAAGGCACATATATCATTTACAATTTTCTACTGGCCACATATTTTACAAGTTAAAAAAGAATAGATAAACTTAATTGTAATTATAAAATGCATTTAACTCAACCTATGCAAAATATCATTTCAACACATAATTCATGAACGGGTTATTAATGAGATACCTTATGTTCTTTTTTTGAACACATCTGCAAGATCTGTTCTAGATGTTACCTTTCCAACACTTCTCCACTCAGATTACCATGTTTCAAATGCATATTCTGGTGAATGCTGTATGGGACATCACAGATCTAAGGGCACTTAATTAGCTGCATTCGTGAGTGGTATTTATTATTTAAGGAAGCTTATTCCATTTGACCTGATTTGATGAAATATTCACCAAAGGCTTCCTGAAAGTCACTGTTAAAAATTACTGGATTTATAAATAAAATGAATTTGGGATACTGAATTTACTAGTGAAGGAAAAAAATCAGATTTTTAAGAATTTCTTTTTAAGACAAATTTTTTTTAAGTAGTCACAAATGGCCTTTTGAGTACATGACGAGGGCAGCCCCCAAGGCCCTCCCTGACCTTGGTCCAGATAGAATAGAGGTCACCAACCTCAGCACAGCCCTTGGCGGAAAGGCCTGGTTATTTGTTACTACTTCACACACAGAATGTCAGAGCTGACTGAGGCTTTAGGGATTTTCTGCCCAAAGCACCCCATTTCACTGGCGCAAAACCAGATCAGAGGAGAATGCATGGTGAGTTAGAGGCTGAGCCCAAGCAATACCCCAATCTCCTGACCCCACCCAATCCTCCCCAATTGGGCTTCAAATTCATTCTCTCTGCCTCTTTCTCCCCAGTTGGCTGATTAGGAAACTGAGGCACAAAACTGGAGGGTAGGTGGACAAACTGGTCCTGGACCCAGGCCTCCAGGGAGCACAAGCAGAATTAGAAAGTGCTCATTCAACAGCACACACCCAGGCCCAAGGAGAGAAGAGCCCAGAGGAATAGCTGCCTGAGGCCCAGGATGGAGCCTGGCGCTGGGACTGCAAAGGAGAGCAGGTTAGGGGAGACCTGCCGAACCCCGAAGAGCCATGGCCAGGCCTGCCAGGGCCTCAGGGGGCCAACCTCCACCCGCCTGTGGTCCCAGAGCATAGCCTGATACCCCTGCCAGGACTTCTCTCCGAGTGAAGGCCCTAGATCTCCCTCCCGGGCCTCATTCTCCGAGCTCCCCTAATTCCGTGTTTGTTGTTTTTCTTTCTCTCCTTGGACATCTTAACTTCCTCTTCCCAACCTGATCTGCCCCACACACTGATTTTGCCAAGGAGAACCTCACAAGTAGATCTGAGTCTATGGCACTGCCTCGGGCTCAGTTGTGCTGGGGTTTGGCTTCTGCTGGGGGAGGGAAGAACTGCTTGGGTAGGCCAGGGGGAACGGCGTCCCCTCCTCGGCTAGCTCTAGCCTTTCCCACCCACTCTTGGGCTTTGTCGCACGGTTTCCTTCTGCCTGCAATGCCCGCCTGCCAGGCCATAGCCCTCGGCAGTAGGACACACACCACTGGGGAGCCTACGGAGGCTTTAAGGAAGCAGCATTTACAGCTTCTATATCTCATGGCAGGGGATGCCTGGGTGGCTCAGTGATTGAGGTCTGCCTTTGGCTCAGGTCGTGATCCTAGAGTCCCGGGATCCAGGCCCTCACGGGGCTCCCTGCAAGGAGCCTGCTTCTCCCTCTGCCTCGCCCTCTCTCATGAATGAATGAATGAATGAATGAATAAATAAATAAACAAATTTAAAAAGATTTCATGGCAGGGAAACTATTCCCTGCTCGAAGTCCAATCAGTCCTCCTGGAAAGTCAAGAAGAAAATGCCAATTGGGGGCTGGGGTGTCTTTATCACTGCCCCCCCCCCCCCCCCCCGCCATCTCCATCTCCCCTTCCACAGAGAGCACAAGTGTAGGCTTCAGGCTCAAGGGCTTTTGCATTTCTTTTAACTTTTTGCTGGCACGGAATTGAAATTGGTTTCCATCCCCATTTATCTTTATGCGTACCTTCATCTTTTATTTATGACACATGATATCGGTTTTCCCCTTATGATAGTGACATAAAGTTTCCTTTCAAAACTAAACTTGTATTAGTAACAAGTGAGGCTATTGAGTATAAATGCAGCTTTAGGAACATTAAGTAAATATCTGTACTGGGAGTGGAGTGGAGTGGGCCGGTGAGGGGTGTTGGGAGGGGGCAAAAGGACTCGAGTGTAGGGACCTTGGCTCCGGGAGCCCCTTCATCTCACCCTCCTCCTGAGCTCTTGCTGGGGCCCTGAGGACCACTTGCTGTCAGAAGCCACTCAGAGCCAGATCCCTTGGGGTCCTGGGGTTGGCCAGCCAACCTCCTGGTCCCAGACTTCATTCTGAGCCGAGGCCAGTGGTTGGGTGTCATGGGAAAGGACGGAGGGTGGCGTGATAGAAATGGGGAAGGAGGGACTTCCTTCTCTGACCATCTGTCTTAGCTCAGAGGCAGAAGGTGGCTGATCTCCAGATGCTCCTGGTAGAGCAAGAAAAGCCAAGTTACCCGCACGGAGCCAAAGGCACACACTTTCCCGCTCCCAGAGCTAAACAGCTTTCCCTGAACCAATGTGAGGTCAGGAACACGTACCTCTACATAGAGAGGGAGAAAAGAGCTGCCCCCATCCCCAAATAACTCCCCAGTTCTCCTAGTGGGCTTGGATGCCTCTCCTGATGGGGCCTCCCTAGGTCTCCTTCTGAAAGCAAAGTGAAAGCACTTGGGATCCCTACTGCCAGGTGGGCTCAGACTCCCTGGCCTAGAATTCTGTTTCCATGCATCTCCTCCTCCCCCGAAACATGAGGTCCCAACAGAGGCATGATGGACCCCTGCCCAGTTTCTGCCAGTTAGGACACTACATGCAGCAGAGGCCAACAGCATCTGATGGGCATAGCTAGCCCCCAAACTTTCTGGCTACCTGATGCCCCAGCCTGGATTTCGAAGTGCTTTGGCACTCAGGGAGAGCTCAGGATGGGGGAGGAAGAGCTTTCCCATTCATTTGTCCCATAAACTACCCTTACGGGCTGCACCAGAGAGACCAGCTATCCTCATCTCCCGTTCCTTCCCCAAGTTCTGTTTCTGGACAGTTCTACCATGAGCGGTAGAAGCCTGGTGAGTCCAGAGCCTCAGTTTTGAGGTTGAGAATACAATCATCCGTGGTCTCACCTTTCTGGAAGGCAAACTACTCCTTACTGAGAGTTGCCAAGAAATAGGGATGAGGGAGTTCCTGAACCTATGGTAGGAGGAGTCACCCTCCTCAGACCCTGGGAGGCGGCTCAGGGGACACCAGGCATGCTGCCCACATCCTTTCATGCCTGGGAGTCTTCTAGCACCATCCGGGCACAGCCCTGACCCCTCAAAAGGGGGTTCCTGGACCCTCTCCAGGTCCCAGCTCTGGCCTCCCTGGGACAGTCTTGGGTAAAAGGCTCTAGAAAGATGAGTGAGAAAATGACCAGAAAGAGGATCAAGAGGCCAGGAGCCAGGACCTCCAGCATGAGTGGTGGGAGGTGGGGAAAGAGGCCTTACCTGAGAGGGCTGCTGTGAGCAATCCAACAATCGCAGAGAAGAGCCACATGTCTGGTGCCATCTCTGACCGCTACGTGTGCCTGCCAGAGGGAAGAACCATCCTGGGGCCGGCAGGTGGATGTGGCTGCTGTGTGTTCCTCGAACCTGCTCGGACCTTAGCTGCTCCCGTTTATAACCTTCTCTCTGCAAGAGAGTGCTCCTTTGCACGCATGCGACCAAACCCAGCCTGTGAGTGTCTCTCACGTTTCTGTGCTCTACTTGTGGTTTTGGTCTCCAGGAAGCCAGGCTGGTATCATAGGGGCTGAGAGGGAGAGCCTGGCTGCCTCTGCTGTGAGCCCACCCAGCCTGGTTGAACCCCAGGAGTCACAGAAACACACACACACACACACTTTCTCTAAGTGTCTCCTAAGGAAAAGGGAAGTGAGGGCATGCTTTCTTTCTGGAGACCTGATATATAGTAGATGTTCAACCAACACATGTGGGAAGAATGGATGCCTGACCCACAGCCTGTCCCAGGCCACAGAATCCAGATCTTCTGGGATAAAATCCCAAGACTTACTTTGTCCTTGGGTGTGTTTATGGCTGGGAAGAAGGAGGGTGTGGTCTTGCACTTGCTTCAGTTTCCTCTCAGAGATTCAAGTGAAGAAGGGTCTGAGACATGGTGTGCACCCCATCTCCTTACAGGGTGGAGGTGTCCTCTGCGATGGTGCAGGTGGCTCCAGTACCTGCCCCCCACCTGTGGGCACTGGGCTGGGTGTCTATTCCTCAGGGAGAGAGAGGCATGGGATCTGGCCCAGGAAGGACAAGCAGGGTTTCAACAGGCAGAGAGGGGGAAGGCCTCCGGAAGGGTCAGCAGGAACAGCAAGAGGGCTATTCCCAGTCCCAAGGGCCAGGGCTGCTTGGGAAACTCTGAGTTGTTCAGCTTGTCTGCAGTGGATGCTGTGGGAAGGGGACAGGGATTTAGAGTGGGTTTTTTTTTAAGATTTGATTTATTTATTTTAGAGAGAGAGGGAGAGCTTGAGTCAGGGAAAGGGCAAAGGGAGGGGGAGAGAGAATCCCCAGCAGACTCTGCACCAAGTGTGGAGCCTGAGTTAGGGCTCAATCTCATGACCCCAAGATCATGACCTGAGCTAAAACCAAGAGTTGGATGCTCACCCGACTGAGCCCCCAGGAGCCCCAGGGACCTGGTGTGTTTCATTCACCGCTGCACTCCCTGTGTGGCACAAGGTAGTTGCAGAATAAATGCTGTTGAGTGACTGAAGGAGCAGAGAACGTTCTTTGGTGGTTTAAGCAGAATCCTTGGAGAAATGGAGTCCAGAGGAAACTGGCTCCATCCTGGCCCTTTGTCGTGTGACCTTATCTCCTGCCTGATGCTTCCTTTCTCTCTGTTTGCCTTCATTCCCCCATCTGTGGAATGGAGAGGACTTCTCCACTGGGTCCCCATCCAAGGGGGCATCGGTTGCAGGTTTGGGAGCCACAGAGAGCCAGGCCCCCTCCTCCATGAACCCTGCCTAGACCTGTGAGCTGGACCGGACTGTGGCTGCCCCCTGGTGGAAGGCCCCTGGTAGCACAGGCGGTGAATAGGGGGCCTTCATCCCCTGGGTTCACTTCCATTCAACTGACACTTAGGGAGACTTTGGTGTGGGAAACTCTGGAATGGGCTAGGTGGAAGATAAAGATGGGAAACCATATCCCTGCCCTCAAGGAGCATGGAGTTCACAAACTCAGGTGACCAAAGCACAGGCCAGGGTACGATGGACCCAGGAGAGGTGTCCTACTGCTGGGCAACATCCTGAGAGAAACACATCTGAATGGGCTGGAGGGGATGGCTAGACTTCTATTTCTGACAATATGGTAAGCAGCAGATGCTGAAAGTTCTCCTGATACAAAACACCAAAAAAGGGGTAGGGGGATAAAAACATTTATAAATATCTTTAGAAATGCAAAGCTGAGGAGCATCTGGGTGGCTCAGGGGCTGAGCGTCTGCCTTCTGCTCCGGTTGTGATCCTGGGGTCCTGGGATGGAGCCCCATGTCGAGCTCCTGCTCAACAGGGAGTCTGCTTCTCCCTCTACCCCTCCACCCTACTTGTGCTGTCTCTCTCTCTCTCGCTCTCACTCTCTCTCTCTCTCTCAAATAAAAAAAAGAGACAGAGAGAGAGATCATTGAGAGCAGAAGCAAACGTTCCCCTGAGGTACCTGCTGATCCCAGGTGGCCAAAAAGTTCAGTTTAATGGGACAAAACCTAGCGCCTGAGCAAAGCAAAATCAGAAACCTACCCCCTAAAGCAAAACAATGAAAAACAAGACTCACAGTGAATGAACTAGGGAAGAAAAACCTCTCCAAGGGCTCTGACAGAGAATGTGCTTGGCTCAGCATTGACTCTGAGTGGAAAAAAAAGAAATGCCAAACCTGAATGCTCCTAACCTCAAGGCCACCGGCAACTGGGGCTGAGAGGGAATTCACAGGACCTGTGAGGCAGAAACACCACCACAAACAAATAAACAAAGAGCAGGAGGATTTAAAGCAGATAGTAGTTCCTGGGGCACTTGGCAGAAACAAATGCAAAAATTCTCTCTGAAGGGAAGCCATCTGGCCCTTTTGTGTTCTGGGAGGTTTCTGATGACTGCTTCAATTTCCTCCCTGGTTATCGGCCTGTTCAAGCTTGCCATTTGCAACAACATGGATGGACCTAGAGGGTGTTAAGCTAAGTGAAAGAAGTCAGACACAGAAAGACAGATACTTAGATGTGGAATCTAAAAACCAAACCAAACCAAACTCATGGATCTGGAGAACAGAGTAGTGGTTGCTGGGGGTGGGGAGGGCAGCTGAGGGTGGATGGGCACAATGAATGAAGGGGCTTGAGAAGTATAGACTCCAGTTGTGAAATGTGCAGGTGATATGGATGTGGTGCACAACAGGGTGACCACAACAGTCAGTGGTATTGTGGTGCAGATTTGAAGGTTGCCAGGAGGGTGGATCTTGGATGTTCTCGTCATAAGGAAAATAAAAAAAATTTTTGTAACAGCAGATGACCAGAGGTACTTTCACATCTCTGCCCCCACAGGAGGGCTTCTATTTCTAGTTAGTAACTGCCTATGCCCTTGTTGATGGAAACCAGACTTGAGTTTTCCTCCTCCGTCAATGGCAGCTCCATGGAAGCCAGAGGTATGAACGAGTTTAGAGAGAAACATGAACACAACAGAGGTCAGGGTCATCTGTTTCTTTCTTTCTTTCTTTCTTTCTTTCTTTCTTTCTTTCTTTCTTTCTTTCTTTCTTTCTTTCTTTCTTCTTTCTTTCTTTTCTTTCTCCATGAGAGACACAGACTGAGAGAGAGGCAGAGACACAGGCGGAGGGAGAAGCAGACTTTATGCAGGGAGCCCAATGTGGGACTTGATCCCGGGACTGCGGGATCATACTCTGGGCTGAAGGCAGACACTAAACTGCTGAGCCACCCAGGCATCCCCTGTTCTTATTTCTTTGCACCTTCTGGACCTGTTTGGGCCTGAAGCTATTGTGTACAGTGAATCCCTTACAACCTGGTGTATGTAATACCCAGCTTATGACTAGCTCTTAGATCACCCAGTCTTTGGTGACCCATCATCAGGCACAAGTCTCCATGTAGCCAGCAGGAGATGGTTTTCAAATGACAAGTGGTTCTTTGCTATAGGAGTCATAGATTTACTCCAGGGCTTTGCTTTTCCCCCTTTAGAGCCTTCCAGATACTCCACACAGCATCCTCATTTTTTTTTAAAGATTTTTTATTTATTCATTTGAGAGAGAGAGAGTATGAACAGGAGGAGGGGCAGAGGGAGACGGAGAAGCAGGCTTCCCACTGAGCAGGAAGCCTGATGCGGGGCTCAATTCCAATACCCTGAGATTAGGACAGAGCCAAAGGCAAAGGTTTAACTAATTGAGCCTCCCCCAGGCACCCCCCACATAGCATCCTTATTCATCTTGGCATCTTTGGCATGATTGGACTTTGCAGGTCTTATGATCAGGTTAGCACAGCGGTCTGCATCATGCCTAGAACTGCCATAGAGCCTTCTCTTGCTCTGGGCTCCACTCAGAACTGGCAGCCCCTCAAGTCACATGAAAAATGGGTCAGAACAGAATTGCTAAGGATAGTCTATGCTCCAAATTCTAAACAAATCTACTGTGTACTGTGCCCTGTTCTTGGTAGGAGGGGATGCAAGGTTCAAAGTCTTGCTCTTTGCCATAGAGGCAGTATCCTGGCATGCTCTAGACCTTTGGATACCTAAAATCTTCTCCAACATGGCAGCCACCTAAATCTTTGTGGGGTGTGTGTCCCTCCTTTTAGCACACAGAGAGCAGCAGTTCTCAACCTTGTTGGTCTCAAGCCTCCTTTATATTCTTAAAAATTATCAAGACCCAAAGAACTTTTGTTTACATGGGCTGTACCTATTGATACTTACCATATTAGAAATTAAGTTGACACATTTTATTTTTTTTAAGATTGTATTTATTTATTCATGATAGAGAGAGAGAGAGAGAGAGAGAGAGAGGCAGAGACACAGACAGAGGGAGAAGCAGGCTCCATGCCAAGGGAACCCAACTCGGGACATGGCAGTGCTAAACCGTGGAGCCACCTTGGCTGCCCAAAATTGACACATTTTAAACATTTATTTAATTCATTTAAAAATAACAACAGTGAATTTATAATATGTCATTGTAAATAACATTTTTGATGAAAAGTTAGTATATATTCCTAACCAAAAGATTATTGGGAAAAGTAGCATGGTTTTACATGTTTTCAAATCTCTTTAATGTCTGACTTTATAGAAGACACTTGGGTTCTCTTATCAGCTTCATTTAATCTGTTGAGATGTGTTGTTTTGGTCAAAGGCTATGAACAAAAATCTGTCCTCATAATAACCAATTGGAAAAAGGAGGAGATTTTTTTTTTACCTTTTTTAGATAATTTTAGATATTCTTCTCTGATACTGCAACAATATTTGACAAGTGATGTTTTCTAAAGGTCAGCTGCAGTGTGAGATCTGAAATTTTATCAATTAACTTTAATTAACTGTTAAATTAAAATCC